ATCTTACAAACAGGGGCAAAATGGACAGATATCAGTAGAGAGTCGATCATTAAAATGATGCAGTTGAGACACTGACCGTGATAGAGAAAAATCTCTTATTCAAAATTTAGGCTTTTTAAAAGCCCATTTTCAAAATATGTTGGGGAAGGAACTCATAATACCAACTTGGGTTATCTGTTGAGGCCCAAAGCACTATGTGTGAAAACCAGGTCAGTCCTGATTGTTACATTGATTTTTCTTTAATTGATCATATGCTTTTTAATACAGCAAATGGGTCAACTCACTTATTATGTGTGTGATCATATGCAAATGACCAGATCTCTCTCAGCCTCAGTTTCCCCATCTGTAACATGAAAAGATTGGGCTTCACCAGGGGAGGTAGTTTGCTCAGATGGAAATGTAAGCTGTTCCACTTATTTTGCCTCATGAAACATTTCCAAATTATAACAAACCTCTGAAAAAAATTGTTACTGCTTATTTGTTACTGCTTTCTAACCTTAACTTTCCAACACAGTCTAGTTCATTCCTCCTCTTTTATTCTGTCTTCTCCACCTCCTGGTCCAGTATAACAGGTACCCCAAATTCTCAGGAACTGGGGAGTTGAGGCTGGTTCTTATAAACCTGGGTGGCTGTGGTTTCAGGGAGGGCGTTCCCCTCGACTAGTCATCTACACAGTAAAAAGATTCCTACTTCAGGGCAGAATGTAGAAGAAGGAGGTTTTATCCTGTCAGAATTGGTGGAAAGACCACAAATGAGCATGTGACTTTGGAATTAGTCAGACGTGGGTTTAAGTCTTCACTGTGCAATTTACTGTGTGACTAGCAATCTCAATTTGTTCCTCACCTAAAGTTGATGATAACTAATAACTAAGTCCCACCTTGCAGGATTATTGGTTTAGAATTAAATAATAGAGCTAAAATATTGAGAATATAGTAGGTTCTCAATAAATGGTCGTTCTCATAGACAGCTGTGATCAAGGTAGAAAATAGAAGTTCCTGCCCAGATCTTTAGGCAAAACGTACATGATCGAAGTAGCACTGGACTTTCCAAAATGTTTAGGCTAAAATATCATCCAAAAGCACATTTTCAGCCATTGAGAGATTGTAACCTTGTTGCTTCCAAGGCTAAATACACTACAGATAGATAAAATAACCAAGCTCATCAAAAATTTTTTAAACTTTTAAATTCTAAGAATTTAAACAAAAATGTTATATTTGGTAAATATTTTATTTTTAAACATTTAGCTCAAAACAGCCTAACCCGGTAACAAACTTACCCACAAATGTTGAATATCTATATTAGGTAAAAACGGAAACCAGCTGTAATTTTTAATGCAGTGAGTGGAATAAAGAAATGTGCAAACCGATCCAAATGTTTATCAACTAAGGATTCCTCTGGGACTCCGTGCCCTGACTACATTTTTTTAAAACATGGAGACTCAAGCTTGGCTCGTACTTGAATTATGTTCTTTGCGTAAGCCATGCAATTTAATTTTAACCTACAGGACTGAAAATAAAATGAGCTCAGACGGCAGAACAATGAGGCTGGGAGCAAGTGAGAGCCTTAATCTAAGTGAAAGACGCTTCCTCGCTGCTGCTCTGCCTTCTCCCGCCTGCTCCTGCCAGATTATTTGGGGTTCCCGGTGCAAAAACAGGTCAACATTTACAACGTGGGAAAGGGATTTGTCTTTTACATTAATGTCTGTGCGTAAGCCCCGAGGATGTTGGTGAGGAGCATGAATTTTTAAAAATCATTATGCTACGTGAAATAAGTCAGTCAGAAAAAGCTAAAAAGCTTTTATATGTGGGATATAAAACTGAAACTTACGAACACAAACAGCAGTGTGATGGTTGCCAGAGGGAAAGGGGTGGGGTGGGAGGGTGAATGGGGTCCTCATATAAGGTGACAGGAGAAGATTTGACTTTGGGTGGTGGGCACACAGTATACAGATCTTATAATATAGAAACCCGTACCTGAAACCTATATGTTCATGTTGACCAGTGTCACCCCACTCAATTTAATAAATAAAAGAAAGACAAAAATCATAAGTGAATGCTTACCCTTGCCACTTGTAATCATGACAAAGCTTGCGTAATTCAGGCATGCACATGATTTTTTTAAAGTACAAAACAGGATTTACTAGTCAGAGAATGTCTGCCTAAACAAGCTCATCCATCTGAGTGCTTTCAGCCACAGTTCAAATTCGTTTAACACAATCAGGTTTGGTAAACAGACCACGTTAGCTCGTGGAGTGTTTTTGGAACATCACAAAATAACCAACACGTGGCTTTTAGGCTCGTTTTGGCAGAGCGTGGACACAGGACCCCACAAGGAGGTTTGGAGACCACTTGCCCAGGCATCGGCTTACCAGTACCAGTAGGGGACCTGACCACATTCACCACCCTGCTCCTGTAAAGGCACATTACACTGTTCACTCATCTCCTGGGAGCCTGATATGGATTACTGTCCTTGTCGCTGTCATTTATTTTCCCAGGAAGGAGGCGGCATCGACTGAGTTCCAAGGGGTTAGAGTTGATTCTATAGCGTGACTAGTTAGCCTACATGATAATAATGTGTGAGTGTTTTAATGTGAATGTTTAGCTTTCAGATGTTATTCACGGGGAATATCTGAACAGACACTAATAGAACCAAATGCCTAGGTGTTCGCTTCAGCCTCCTCCGCCCCCACTCTCAGGACGCTGCTTTACAGATGACCTTCTATTAAACTGGTACCTTGTAACTCAGAGTGATAGTCTCTAATTCCCGACCCCCGTGGTGCAGCAGGAATTAGCCTAAGGACACTCCATTCTAATTTTCTGTCGCTGTCAATGCTAAGCAGAGCTCATAGGGCAATGAGGTGGGGGTGGGGAAGATGGTTCCACCATTGGTGTTTCCGTTAGAGCCACGTTTATTTCTGGAATAGTTGTGGGAGGGAGAGATGTGCTCCAAAGAGAAGAGGACTCAGTGTGGTTCAGGTATGATCGACCATCTGGACAACCCCATTCGGATACTTTAAAATGTATGGGCTAGAGCTGGGCGGGGTACTTTCCACACATTGAGCTAAAAATCACTTGGATTCTGGGAGAGGAGATAGAATGAAAACCAGAAACAAAAGATCGGTTGTGAAACCTAGTACCGAAGTAAGATGTTCGAATACATTTTCTCCTTTAAAAAAAATTCTGGGGAGTTTGAATGTTTTGCTAACCCAGTTATTTTTAGCCAGTCCTTATAGAAAATAGAGGCGCTAGAAAACTAGCAACTCCAGAAAATGTTAATTTCTTTTTGCACGAGTTAAAATTAACTAACATTAGCATATTCAGTGATGCAATAGGCAATGAAAGACCTTGAAGAGATATGAAGAAGAAAAGTAAATATTATGTATTCAAAATCAGTCTCATAGCGTTTTATAAAAATGTTGGCTTATGTCCAGGATCTAAGGGTGGGGGTGGGTATGGTTTTTTTTGTAGCTGAAGAAGGGATGGAAAATAATCTGCTCTGTTTCCTTAAAAATAAAAGACTTCTTGTTTTATACAGCGTGGTAAATGCTTTTCTGTTTTTTACCTGCCGGCAGGAAATGGAGGAAATTTTTCTAGCAAGCTATGCTGTTTTCCTCTCTTTGGGGACATGGTGACACTGGTTCTGTAGCAAAACAGTATTTGCTTATTAGGCGTTACTTCAAAATCCTGAATAAGCAGCTCTTTCCACATTTTTTTGTTACACATGTTAAACATTTCATTGCAATTTGAGCTTCAATTGTGTGTGTGTGTGTCTGTGTGCGCGTGCGTGCGTGTGTGCGTTGATAGAAAAGATTGAAAGGGGATGCATAAGAATTCTTAAAGGTTTTTGTTTTAAAAAATTAATTCCTACATTATGTGTTGGAATCTCTACAGAAGGCGATTCCAATTTATTACATACAGCCAAACTAGATCCCATCAATCTTGTGCAGCGAGGGTAGAGAGGTGGTATTGAAGAAGACATGAAATTTGGTGTTCGAGTAGATGAGATTTAATTTTCAGAAAACATTTCACTCATAAAACGGATAGCACCCCAGTGTCAGCCCTGACCTCCATGATGTCAATGTCGTCGTGCAAGCGTAGCTAAGATAAGCCTCAAAGTGAAACAAAGAAACGTTGCATCTCAGCACAACACCATTTCTTCTCTTACAGTATGTACTCTCCCTCTCTATAACTATAGCCTTTTGGATTTCTGTTAATGGCTTGTTACTTTACAATTTAGCTTTTGCAGGGGGAGGGAGGAGAAATATAATTTTGCATATCCTATGTTTTGAGCAAGTACGGTAGGCTGCTGCAAGTCAACATTATTTAGGTCAGTATCCTGGTTAGCTTTTATCGTCCGTGCTGGTCAGCTATGTATCCAAACGAACTCAGCATCAATTTATTTTTCTGTCCTGATTGTATTCTGCTTCTAAGTTTAAGCAAATTTATTCACATTAGAATACCATTCCAGCTGAGGAGGTATCTGCCGTTCTGTACTGCAGATACATTTAGCAGGATACATTTACACGCTTGTGGTTAGAGGTTATAGCACTGATACAGACAGCTGATCATGCATTCTTCTACAAGCCTGCCGGCACCAATTAGGATTTTTAAAAATAATCTAGAAATGCTACACCTTTTATAATATTATTTTTGACTTTGCTATAGCTTAACAGTTTTGGTTTCTTGTTGTTATTATTAGCAGTTCTATGAAATTAACAGTCTATAAAATGCATCCCAAACCAGATACATACTGTATTGAAAGCTTTCTTCAAGAAGATGACATGACAGTATCCGTTCCAGCTGATTTTCTTCCTTAGCAAAAGGATTATTTGATTCTCAGAAGCAGAAGGACACAGTCATTGTGCAGCAGCTCTGCTTAAATGTATGAAATGCCTTCTACTGTCTGGTTGCAGAATTTGGAGTTGGCTAAATAGTGTTTAGTGATTGGGCTCATCTTGCATCACCAGTTGATGACATTTTTCTTTGTTCCCTCCTCCCCAGTTGAACCAGGACTCTGAGGCTGATATGCAATGTCACTTCCAACATTAATCAGATACTGCATTTAAGGTGAGCCGTTCCTTGCCTCCTCCTTCCCCAGTGCTCGTGTGCTGCATGCATTGCGTATCTTGCTCCTGCGAGCCTAAGATGGCAGGCAGGATTAGCTGTGCTGGTGCTGTGTGCATGCTGTGTATAGAATTCATTACACGTTGCCTAGTATTTCAGATGTGAGTATGTAAATGCTCTGTATGCCATATCATCTGGTAGTGAAGACTTGTTTTTGCCTCATTTCAGCCTTAGATATTTCAACATCACCTTTCAGTTCCGATTCATTTGCTTCTGGATGTTTGTTTTTCATCACATTCAAAATAGGATTTTACCTTTTTTTTTTTTTAAACAAAGCCAAAAAAAAAAAGCCCTAAAAAACAAAACAACAACAAAACTCTGCTACCAGATGGTGTCTCCCCTTTCTTCTTGCATTTGCTGTCTTTTAAATAATGTATGTTGTATTGTTAATTAATGTGACTATCAAATTAAACACTTGAAACTTCCGTGTTTATTATGCAGGTAGGAGGTAAGGTGGGACCTATTTTTAACTCTTATGCACGCCATGGTGTGCAAACAACTTGGTTCTCAAATTTGTATTTTCAGTGCTGGTATCAGTGGTTTGATTTTCAGCAAATGTGACAGTGGCCTTTGCAGTGGTCAGCTTCGGGCTTTGAACTCTCAGAGGAGGAAGGGGAAAACATTCAACACACCACCTCCTTGGTTGCAGCCTCAGAGAAACCTTGGATGAGAACCTTCCTTTTTTCAATCCTGTTTTCCTGTTGATAAATTCAGTTCTCGTGATCACAGTGCATCCAAGCTGTTCTGCGTATGATTTTTTTGTGTGTGACAATTGCATCTAAAACTTGTGAGCAAGAAGACGGAGAAATCGGTCTCCATCGCTTCACATAAAAATGGCTGAGTGTCTTGTCATGCTAGCATTGCACTAAGTGATACATACAGGTAGGTTGAAATTTGCATGTTTTATAGAATTTGAGCCATGCAGCAAGAATATTATGGATTAAAATATGACTTTTAAAACAAAAATTAAATAAGACAGTTGTAATTTTTTTGGGGGGGGGTATTAAATTGGATAGCCTTTTCTAGTCAGATAGTATAGAAATAATTAGCTTTTATAAACTTATAAAATGATTCTGCAATAAGATGATTTCTTTTTTAAAAACCATATGTATAGTAGGTGTGGCGCCGTTAGACAACAAAAGAATTTTTTGGAAAAGTCTGTTGATTCAGCTCCATTTTAGCTTGAAACTAAAAATAAATGGGTTTCTGCAGATAATTTCAAAGAGCGCAAACAAGCTTAATATGAAACATTTAAAATATTTAAATTTTAAGAAGCGGTCTTTAAACGTGTTATATGAAAGATGAAAATAACATATACTTAAAAATTAATTTTAGATAATATGCAAGAATAAATACACTTTTATATACCTATTACTAGGGAGAGGAAGAGTTACAATTTTAAAGGGGGAAATATTAAATGTAAATGGTCCTGTTAGAAGAAAAAGAGCTTCATGAATGAAACAGTGTCTAGGATGGCTCATTGCAGACCATACAGCTGTGGTTCTGCAAGTACCAAATTCTGGCACTATTCAAAATAATTTCATGGGCTCCTTCCTTTGAGGTTAACTTCTCAAATATATTTTAGTTTTTCAAATTAACACTGGGCCAGAACCTGTTTCCTTGGTAACCAAATCTTATTTTTAAATGCAATAACAGATATGCAAAAGATTGTCTTAAAAAAAGAAACAAATGTTTAATGAAAAATTTATAGTTCTTTTTCCTCTGATATAGAGTCTGAACTGGTTTTAGACATTTTTAAAATGCGGTCTTCAAGCCTTAAAAACAAGACATATTTCTGCACATATAGAGAAAGCTTGCACAGTGAGAGCTTTTTTCCTCCCTCCTTTGTGCTCAATACTTTCAAAATTAAGGTTTCCTTTGAAACGTGCTCTAGAATGCTGGTCAAGGTTTGTGTACAAAGGTGTAGTTTCATTATCACGAGTTCACCAGCGCCACCGAAACAAAAGGCATCTCAGAAATTCTGAGAATCAGAAAATGCTTAGGCTCTTGTTTTCCTTGATCCCTCCATTGGTAACCTCGGAGCTCTCCATAGAGAAAGACCCAAAGCCAAGCCCACCCCAATGATAAGTGCACATTGAGCCTTTGTGGAAACGTCCTTGTAGATGTGTTCGGGGAAAGATGCTGTAAACCCCAAACCTCCCTGAGGTTTGCTCCGATGTGAAGAACCTTGAGATTCAGAACCATTTGTGCAAATAGTTGCTGTATTCTAGCAGCTTGTCATATTCAAAGGCACTGTCTGTAAAATCTAACCTCTTACGGGCTAAAGGTTTGTTGTTGCTGTTGTGTTGTTTAGAGGCCAACTTAAATATTTTGCTTAGAGTCTTTGTCTGGCTCAGTTATATGAGATCATGATTCATCTCCCAGTGATTTCGTTCTTTGGGCTGCCATGAAAATATCCTTCCTGCAACACCTCAACACCGCCCCCCCCCTTTTTTTTTTGGTTGTTCGGGAGCCATTTTCCTTCTTGCCTGTGACTTAAATGACTAAGTACATTTTTAATATAGCATCAATCAGAAGATCATAAACTGAAGGGAAATGTCAGAAACCTGATTCAGTATTTCCTACTTATTTTAATACCAGCAGCATTAACAGTTGCAGTAGGAGCAAGCTAACCGTCATTTGCTCTTGAGCAAATAATGAGCCAGGCATTTGTAATTCATGTACTATTGCTACTCAGAAAGATACAACTACAATGCCTTCTGTTTTGATAGGCTGGTACAGATTAATAATTTTCAGTCTTAATCACAAGATTAGATGGATGCAATGGAATTGTTTTACCATAAAAGTGAATGCCTGATAGATTCAACAGTGTATTTCTTCTTTATCAAATGTCAATCGTTTTCTTTTTAACTCCAGCATGATTGCATCTTCTTGGAGACTTTCATCCCTAATAATTTTTTTGAGGCATTATTCATTTATGTTGCTCTTGGTCTCGCCTAGAAGAATTTTAAACACAATTCAAGGAGCTTGAAGTATATTGTACTGTTGTCATTCTAATAAATAGAGCAGTGAATGGAAGACTAATTATTATTTATTACATTGTTGTGTTTCGCCTTAATGTCTTGCCTCCATATTTCACAGAAATCTTTTCAAGGCACAATACTTTTCTAAACTTACCCATTTGCAATTATTATTAAATTTGCTAGATTAATAAAAAAAAACACTGCCTGTCAACTAGTAAGGATGGTACTTAGTCATTCTCATTGTTCAGAAGGCTATGCTTAACTAATTTACACTTTTTGGCTAAGGTGTTTACACCGGGCAGGCCAGAGCAGGTGCGACATGAAGAGTGTGCAAACAACTGCTTTGTTCTCACCAAAATGAAATGGGAAAATCTGTGGTTTTCTGCTTGAATGATTTATAGTATAAAATTCTCAACTCCTTTTTTTCTTTGGAAAATAGGAAATGTTTTTCCAAACCTTAACTTGGGCTTTTTTTTCCTTTTTAACCTGTCTCTAGTAATGATCTGTTTAGTCATGTAAACGGGAAATATTACATTTAGTCATCCAAAATATATTCATCCAGGTTGATATTTATTGTGTTATATCTTCTAATTAAAAGGGCTTTCATCTCACCTAGCCAGCATGGCTCAGTGGTTGGGCGTCATCCTATGAACCAGGAGGTCACAGTTCAATTCCTGGTCAGGGCATATGCCCGGATTGTGGGCTCAATCTCCAGTGTGGGGCGTGCAGGAGGCAGCCGATCAATGATTCTCTCTCATCATTGATGCTTCTCTCTCTCTCTCCCTCTCCCTTCCTCTCTGAAATCAATAAAAATATATTTTTCAAAAAAAGAGATTTCATCTCTTCCTACTAGAATGATGTTGATCTACCTCAACCATTACTATGGCTTCCTCATAGACAGATGGTAGCCAGGCCATGTTTTAGAGCTGGTTGATATAGGGAGAAGAATCTGGACAAAGATCTAGCACCTTTCTCTTTAGTACTAAATCATGCTAAGCCTTTGAGTTCCTGGTTGACACATTTATTGAGCACCTGCTATATATGCCAGGCATATTTTAGAGGCTGCAAATACAGTAATGAAGAAGAGATACCAGGGCCTGCTTCTCAATGACCTGCCTCTAGTGTGATAGAGGAAAATAAATATGTAAACAATTAATTAAAGAAAATAAATATGTAAACAATTAATTAAAGAAGACAAGTGCAAAGACAAAAAATAAAATAAAATTTAAAAAAGCAATGTGACCCCCAGCAGATATGACTCAGTGGTTGAGTGCCAACCCATGCACCAAGATGTCACTGGTTCGATTACCAGTCAGGGCACTTGCCCGGGTTTTGGGATCAATCCCCAGAAGGGGGCATGCTGGAGGCAGCTGATTGAGGTTTCTCTCTCATCAATGTTTTGATCTCTCTATTCCTCTCCCTTCCTCTCTCTTAAAAAATAAATAAGAAACATTTAAAAAATAAAAAGCAATATGACATGTTGGGAGGAAGAGAGACACTTTAGAATGGTGAGCCAGGGAAAGCCTTCGTAAAGAGATGGCATTTAAGTGGAGACCTACATGGTAGGATAGACTCAGCCAGGGGAGAGCATTACCAGCCAGAGGGGTGTTCATGCACAAACTGCAAACTTTCCTTTCCTAGTGTAACTACCATGATATCAGAGCCAGGTTTGACGACTTTGTGAACTGAGCCTTATTCAGGTAAGCTTCCCCTGCAGTGAGAAGGTGGGTCAGGCCCTCCTGGCTGGTTTTAGTCAAATTCCCAGGACATGGTGCCTGTGGGGTCATTGCCTGTGCCCCAGTCCCATCTGGAGACGCCTAAGAAGGTGCAGTGAAATTCTGCGCATTGCAGTCCCAGGTGGCGATAAAATTTTGGTGCAGGCTCAGTGCTAACTCAAGAAATCCACCAAAGAAAGGCTTCTCAGAGCAAAATAACTTTCTGGGAAGCCGTTTGTTTTAT